GACAGGGCAGATACTGAGCAATGTGGCTGCACACAGAGTTCAGAAGTCCTGAGCAAAGTTCCAGTCCAGTGGTTTGTCTTGGGTGCTCCTGGTCATCTTCAGCGCCAGTGAACTTTCCCCAACAAACAACTCCGGTGCCCTCTTCTGCTGCTCTCTGCAAAGCCACACAGAGCGACCACCTCCCTACTTAACTAGCTAGCAACCTCCCTCCTTGTTCCCAATGCAGCGTCACAAGCCCCAGTACTCACAGCCCCATGCAGCTCTGGGCAGCAGTGATACTGGGTCCAGCTCTGGCCTGTCCTTCTCGGGCAATTCCTCCCTGGCACAGTGCTCCTCCTGGCTCCTGTCCTGGGGTGTCCCCGATTGGCCACCCTGTCCTTCCCAGGCTTCAGGCAGGTTCGCTGCTGCTTCACTTTGCGAGGGCCTCTGCAGGCTGCCCCTCTCAGCTTCAGTCACCCCCTGGAGTTTCCCTCCTTTTTTCCTCACTCTCCTGCTCCCCTGCCTGCCTTGTGTTCCTTCAGTCCCGATCCAGGAGTGTGAAATGCATCACTCAGCAAGACTGATGTATTAATGCACTGTAATATCCATCTCTTACATGGCATCTGGGTACAACTACGTACCTAAAGGCTAAATCTACACACTGATCTAGGGACGTGACTCCCAGTGCATGTAAACATACGCGCAGTAGCTCATGTCGGATAGCAGTGTTGCTGTGGTAGCATGGGCTTGCTGCCCCGAGTGCAGCTCTGTCTGAACCCCGAGGGTATGTACTTGGAGCAGCCTGCCTGCACCACCACTGCCCGTACTACTGTGGCTACACTGCTACTTTTAGCCTGGTAGCTCAGATGCTCTTCTGTGTCTAAGGACCTCAAAGCCGGTTACAGACACTAACATCCAGCGTCTCAAAGGTATTGAGGCTGCTAACTTCCATTGGCAACAGCGGCTGGGTCAGTAGCAGCACAAATGTTAAGTGACTTGTTCAAGATTGTACTGTGAATTGCTCTGAGCAAGAATCCCCCCGATGGAAGGCCAGCACATCTACCAGCCTGAGCCCTATGCCTGGGGTGTAGCAGTCCTTAGCAGCCGTGAATGAGCTGGCTTGTTTTTCGCTTTTCCAGTGTGATGCCAGCTGCGGCCGGGGGGTGAAGACCAGAAGCGTGCTGTGTGCCGGCCTGGAGAACGGCGTGTACAGGGAGTATCCAGAAAAGCGCTGCAATGCCTCCCAGAAACCTGAGGTGCAGGCGGCCTGTTTCAAGAGGCCTTGCTCTACGTGGTTCACGACCTCCTGGTCTCAGGTAGGGAGTGAGAGCGAGGAGGTGGGTGTCGAAGAAACTGTCAGGAAAATGGAAATGACAAATGCCAAGGGGGATGGGGTGACAGGCCTACACCCCAGGGTGCTGCAGAGGAAGACAGATGTCAAGGGAGCCTGGAGAATTTCTACTTTCGCGTTGTGCTTGTGGCATAGTTAGGTCTGAATGGAACCACCAAACCGGCTCCTTTCAGGTGCTAGCAGGAGAGGGCTGGACATGCTCACATCCCTGAGGCTCTGAGTACAGACGTAGCAGGAGTAGGGACACCAATTACCAGTGTGCTGGGCAAAGGTGACTATCTTGGTGCTGATCTCCCTTGGGTGTCATGCCCCATAGGGTAGAATGCATATCCTTACCATCCAGGAGTCAACTTTCTTCCTGCCTTTCAATTCAATATAATCGGTGTGTGTAATGCTAGCGAACGGTGCCAGACTGACAGCCCCGGGGATGGGAATCCTTTTTGACCACACGAGGGGCAGCATCAGAGCAAGCTTCCACCATAGTCCACCCATGTGCCCCAGCCCTGCCTTGCAAGGCCCCTTCTCCAGGGATGAGAAGGGAGCTCAGTTTCTGAAACCATTCTGTGCCTGGCCTCTCTGTTGAATCTCCCACCAGGGAGCTGATGAGCAAGTACCTGGGTGTGGTAGGAGGTATTTTGCAATGCATGCACCTAAGCAGTGGGTGGTAGATGGAAACCGCCACACTTATTACCCGTAGGCCACCAAAGGTCGGTGGCTGGTAGCCAGTTTCAGTCCACACCTGCCCTGGGTTGGATTTGAACAAGTTGCGTATGGTGCAGGGAAAGGGTCCATTCCTCCATCACCAGTCCCCCCTGCAGCCTCACTTGTTACCAAGTATAAATTCTAACCTCCTCTGCAGCCCTTTAAGTGCCTGGTGGTCTGAAGGTCTTAGACCAGGGGTGGCCAACCTGTGGCTCCGGAGCCACATGC